TTATCAGTTCATGCAGTGCTCTGCTGTTCGAGCAACCAAATGCATGCTGGGAATCAAAAGGAATAAAAGGACTGTTGTTGCTTTTTTCCACCACTGGCACAGACAAAAATGCCTATATTCTGTCTGAAATGGACGCAACCGCAATGGTGCTTTTTACTAAGCACTGCAGTCAGAGATGCATCACTAGCACACCAATCAAAATATCCGTTACCATCCGCGCCCGCTCAAATGCCAGCCAATAGGAAGTCTGCACGCCAGGTCCACGTCCTTGCCGGAGCTGATCACAGGCTCCAGGAACGCCAACAGCAAGGTAATTCATTCTAATTAGGCCGTTTGCCATTCCCGTGTCTGTCCTAACTCGGCCAGCTGCTACCTGAGAATGCTGCTCTTCAATCAAAACCAGTGGCCGACTCTTGTCTTTGACCGCTGGGGAAACCATCAGGGCGACAGGGAAGAGCCCGACTCATGTTCGGCTATAAAACAGCACGGCGGTCGGCGGATGTTTAAATAGCCAAGCATGACTCAACCGAAGGTGCTTAACTGTTGTCTTTGGCCTTCCGGCTTGGTTCTTTTTCTAATAATGGCTAAAGTTTCATGCTTTCGAGCTGTAACAACATGGTACAAGGCAGCACCAATGAATATATTAAGGTCTTTCAAGCTTGATCAGGTGTGTGAATCTCAATTTGACAGAATGTATCCAAACACACAAATCACATGTTGAGTAAACAGAGATATGTGTTCATAATTTGTAGATTTTCTGGAGAGCTCTGTACTGGACTGTACAATTTACAGTTTGTATAGCAAACACATTGGTTCTCTATTGGCATTCATATGTAAAATGTATACATATGTTGGGTAGACAATGGTATACACACTGATATCATCCAAAACATGAATATTTTAAATTCTAATACGAGATCACAAAATAAGAAGCTTATAAAAACAAAGAAAATTCTAAAGGTTTTCAAATTTATGTAACTGCCCTAATATTATATAGCACTTTTTTTGTCCTGGTATTTTTTAATTTATTTAATTTGGATTCTTTTTGAATATAGCCTATACGTTTATGTTAATTTTATGTTTTGTTGTTGTTGTTATTCTGTCTTACATGCTGTACAGCATTGCCTTATTAAAAAAATTAACATTTTGAGTTATGAACAACTTTAGAGGTATGAAATTTCAATAATCACACAAAATACGCAATAATTCAATACGATCTCAAACCAGAACTCTAATTAGAACTTTTTAATAGCAAATGCATTTATATCTATAATAAAAGTCATTTTTATGAGTTTTAATAACTGTCAAAGCTTCACGAGTGAAATAAAAGCAACATGCTGAAATCTCAAATGTGTTTGGATACTAAACCTGCTAGAATGGATGCAATTTTGGCAACGATGGCATTGATGTGCATTTTTGTAAATAAAACATTAACATAAATATTTAATTTACATCGTTTGTTGAAATCCATACGAACCTCAAAGGATTCATAAACATTTGTATGTCTCAGTATTATTTTAGTATTAGCCTAATTATAAACTCTTTAACAGAATTCAATAATATTTTGAATTAGCTTTTGTTTGCATATTTTAAGTGATATGTACTTGTAAATTGTATTCGTTTTTTTATATTTCCTTTTTTTAAACAAATTAGCTTCGCAAAACAAGTACTTATTTAATTTCAGTTAAGGCAACACGTCTAGCTTATTTCATTTAACGAAAAACGATTTGTAATAGTTTTAGTTAACAATAACAGCATTATGTCTCTGAATTTGTTCATAAGTAAGAATTTATGTTGATATTTTACTTTTAAGTCTCTGTCCAAAAAGTAGCCCACTGAACGCATGTGGCTACGAATACTAATGAGATCACGTTGTAAATTCACTTTGTAGGAAGCATAAAGCACAGAGAAAGGACCTCTTCAAACTGTTAAGAGCCCTCAATGAGGTCTAAATCCCGCACAGGACACTTAGGGACAGAGTTCTGACCCAATTCACAACCAAACAGGAAGAAATGGCCGAATCCTAACAAGATTTATTTTCATTTGCTTTCAAGACGCGGCGGAGGCAGGAACTAGCTTTCGCTCGCTGTATCTTTAAAGGACTTGAAGTTTTCTTGGCAGCTCAGGGAAGAACGGCAAGTTCAGCCAAAATAGACAATAAAGCAAAGGGGAGGAACATGCCAAAATGAAGGGGGCAACTAGTTCCAGGGCTTCATTTTTCCTTCATGATTCACGTTGGAAAAGAAAGCACTTCCCTGTCCTCAAATGAACTCTCGCCGCGCTCTGCGACTCTTACAAGGAAGTGCTGGGGGAGGGGACGGCCACGCGCATTTTTGCGCGCTCGCAGAACTGGGTCAACTGCAGACGAGTCAAAAGAAGCAAGAGAGGTAAACAAACTGGCGAAAACTCGCACGTACAGACACTCAGAGTCAATGAAAGAGACTCTTTTCTCCTCAGCTCTCGTGACTATCCAGACTCTCGCTGCAGCTGCGCGTGACTCCACTGTATTCAACAGATCGCGCTCTCGCGGCGGCCTCAAGTTCCCTCCAACTGTCCTGAGGTTCTTCTACTGATTATATGCTTTGTAGAGGAATTAAACTGAAATGTTTTCGACACAAGGGAGATGCCAGATCGCTCACTGCGTGCAACTGTAAAAAAACAACACCCCATAAGAAGCTAACGATGCAAAAGCTTACATTTAGTCACTGCAGTTGTGGTTTTGTGACTTTGGAGCATCATTCATTTTAGTTAGTTTTTTATGCCTTATCTAAATAAAAAAATATGTTCTTTTAAATGCATGCCAAATTAAAGGGAAAATGAAAATTCTCTCATTAATTACTCGCCCTCATGTCGTTCCAAACCCTTAAGGCCTTCGTTCATCTTCGGAACACAAATTAAGATATTTTTGATGAAATCCGAGAGCTCTCGGACCCTCCCATATACAGCAACGCAACTGTAATGTTCCCACGCCCAGAAATGAACAACAGATCAACAAATCTTCTCCTCCAAATCACATATTTCGCCATTATGGAGAGTACCTCTGCACGTAAACAACGCAAGCGCATAGATGCTGCTGATGTAGAAAGCGCATGCGCCTTGTTTACCTGCAGAGGAAAGCACGCACATGCGTCGTGGTACTCTCCATAATGGCGAAATACGTGATTTGGAGGAGATTTGTCGAATCAAGCCGTTATTTTTGTTTCCTTTGCGCACAAAAAGTTCTCGTAGCTTCGTAAAATTGCGGCTGAACTCACATGAATGGTTTTACTGATGTCCTTGCTTCGTTTCTGGGCGTGGGAACATTTGTTGCGTTGCTGTCTAATGGAGGGTCAGAGAGCTCTCGGATTTCATCAAAAATATCTTAATCTGTGTCCCGAAGATGAACGAGGGTCTTACGGGTTTGGAAACGACACGAGGGTGAGTAATGAATGACAGAATTTTCATTTTTGGGTGAACTATCCCTTTAAGATTTAAAGCCACTTATGATTATTCGAAAATGATGATATGGCAAATTCTGATTATTACAAATAACATCTACCACCAATGCACGATCACCGCATTGGACCAAAGCCAGTTACCCAGAATGCTTTAGTGATGCACTAATAGGAGCTTTTACAGCAGCTATATGGCACCACATTGAAACCACAGTGACTAAGACGATATAGATGAGTCAAGCGTGCTGCCAAAACCACCAAACCACAGTCAAAACCCACAAAACTATCACTTTTGCTTGAGTCACTTTCAATAGCTCTGGCGAGCAGAAGCTGTAGTATCTGGCAGAGCACAGGAGATACTTAGATTCGTCAAACTACACGAGAAAGCATATTCCACATGCAGTTAAAACCATACTGTACAAGTTGCATAAATCATTGTCATTTTAATGTTATAAAGTGGTGCTACACCAATTACATTTTTTTTTAGTGTGCAGTTATTAGAATATAGAATAATCGTAGAAGAATGAAATGTGACCACTGCACTTATGACAATGTGACATGATTTTGACGCAATCAAATATTAGTAACTTTTTGAGTTATTATAATTAAATGTGCGTATTGAGCATTAAATGCTACCTTTTCCTTGTAAAGAACATTCTGTGAATCTTCAATAAAAGGACAGTTAGGTGATTACTCATATTAAATACCAGTCTGTACAATATCTGCACAAAATGTGATCATTTTGAACAGACTGAAGTTATTTTACAGATGACAAGTTGCGTTTTAGAAAATTAGACTTAACAGTGTTCTTGTTACTCCACAAATACGGAGTAAAAATGATAAACGACATATAAATGAAATTATTTTGCCATTCTGTAATGTAAAGTTATCTGCTGACAGTCTGTTTAAGGATTCTGCTCTTCTAAAACACACAGACTGCATTACCAAACTACTATTTACAACATGCACACTTACGGTTATTTTAATTAATTATATTCACAGTTTATGCATCACATGGACACTATAAAATTTACACAGGTCTATGGTAAATATAGTATTGTCGATACAGCCACAAAAAGCAATCAGCCAGTAGAGTACTGGTGTAAAAATTGCAGTTTAATAAGTTGGCTCAATTAAAAATCACTGCGGCATCATAGATTTACTTTAGACATTTATAATGTTTACATAAAAATGTGTATTTCCTATTGAAGCTGATTATGGCATATTTACACTTGTATGCTAAAATAGCTTTCCAATCTAAAGCCGTAAGGCTACTGGTGTGTATTTTCATTTGATACATAGTCAAAAAATCCTATAGAACTGTCTAAAGGTATCATAATACGGAAAAATCCTAACGGCATCAAATTTGGAGAAACAAGTTTGTAAAATCATTAAAAAATTTGCTCTTGTTCCACACTGACCTTTTATTTTATGAGGACCACTGTATTCTCATTGTGAACTCCTGAATGTTCTAAAAAATTGCTGAATGGTTCTAAATGATCAGAATACCAGAAAGAATCCCACAGAATTTTTAATGCAGTATTAAACTATAACAGGTACACTCACCTTAAAAACACCAGGAGGTCATTTCAGAGACTTGCAGTACTTCTGTTCAGTGTTTGAGATCCGTCTGCAATCTCTGAACCAGTTCCCTCAGCGTTCCAGTGAACTTCAGGACGTCCTGGTGAAGGATTATTGTGCTGTGGGACAAAGAGAGAGCCGAACCCACGGTAAACTCCGTGAACTCATTTGATCGCATCTGTGCTTTGCGTCTTTGCGCGTCGTGCCGCTTCTTGGATTACGCGCGGTTACGCACTAGATGCTCCGCTTTCCACCATTTTATATACACATGTAAAGAGGGAAAGCAACTTGAGAAGTGTCAAAATCACCGACTGGAATTTCGGAATGTAAATTAAGTTTGTATGCGGAACGATATAACAGCGATTTTGGAACGAGGGACGTTTGGATGTGGATTTACGCGTCTGTTTGTTCCATCAACGCCCATTTCCCCATGCCTGCTGGGGGAGAATCACCGCGTAAAACATGTTTAAGCTTTATTTCGCTCTGCATGTGTCTCAGTTGAGAGGGAATTAGTTTTTTGCAGCTAGAAGTGAGTATAAAGTACTTCATAAAAACTTTGAGCTCACAGATTATTTCAAACTCACCTGCTTCTCTCCGACTAAAAACCTCGACAGTGATTACCGCAGTGAATATTGGGTAACAAACGCTTCAAAAATAACATTGATTTGGAAACGTTAATTTGAGCTTTACAGATCAAAAGTCATGTAGATGCAAATATGTGTATGACGGTATATAAGCATGTTGAAGTTTAATGACATTAGCAAAGTAAATTATCCAGTGCTATATATATAATTTTTTTTAAACGCATGTATTTAAGTTTTTAAAAACTGACATGCGTTACAGGTTTATTTTTTGTTTTGTATGAATCTATGAATTAATTCTAGAGCAGTAGTGTAGGTGTGTATATATAATGTATTAAAAATATTGATATAATGTATTAAATTTTTGATGTGTGTGTATATATATATGTATATGTATATGTAGATGTATATGTGTGTGTGTGTGTGTGTGTGTGTGTACACTACCGTTCAAAAGTTTGGGGTCAGTATATTTTAATTCCTTTTTTTTAAAGAAATTAACTTTTACTCAGCAAGGATGTGTTAATTGTTAAGAAGTGATAGCAAAGATTTATATTGTTAGAAAAGATTTATATTTTGAATAAATGCTGTTCTTTTTAACTTTTTATTCATCAAAGAATCCTGAAAAAAGTATAATTTCCCCAAAAAATATTAAGCAGCACAACTGTTGCCAACATTGATAATTCTAATAATAAATCAGCATATTAGACTGATTTCTGAAGGATTGTGTTACACTTTATACTGGAGTAACGATGATGGAAATTCAGCGCTGCATCACAGAAATAAATTAGATTTGTAAGGATATTAAAATAGTAACCATTATTTTATATTGTAATAACATTTTGCAAGATTACTGTTTTTTTTCTGTATTTTTGATCAAATAAATGCAGCCTTGATGAGCAGAAGAGACTTCCTTAAAAAGACTTACTGATCCCAAACTTTTGAACGGCTGTGTGTGTGTGTGTATGTGTGTATATATACATAAAACATAAATATAAACAGGGAAACATTAATGAACAATTTGTCAAAAAAGATAAATTACCTATTGCAATGATGTTTTATGCAAGTATTTGTATGTTTATATATACAAATACTGTAATAAATGTCAAAATGTGCAAACATTGGTTGTTATTATTATTTTACATTGGCATAAACTGATGTAGACAGGTTATGTATTTAATCATGTTTTTGACTTTTTTGTCTCTCTCTCTGTTTGTATACAGTATATGTGTGACCCTGGACCACAAAACCAGTCATAAGTGTCAATTTTTCAAAATTGAGATTTATACATCACCTTTTGCTTGTTTGTTTGTTATGATAGAACAATATTCGGATGAGATACAACTATTAGAAAATCTGGAATCTGAGGGTGCAAAAAAATCTGAATATTGAGAAAATCATCTTTAAAGTTGTCCAAATGAAGTTCTTAGCAATGCATATTACTAATCAAAAATTACATTTTGATATATTTACAGTAGGAAATTAAAAAAAATATCTTCATGGAACATGATCTTTACTTAATATCCTAATGATCTTTGGCATAAAAGAAAAATCTATAATTTTGTCCCATACAATGTATTTTTGGCTGTTGCTACAAATATACCCCAGCGACTTAACACTGCTTTTGTGCTCCAGAGTCTCACACACACATACATACACACACATATATATATATATATATACTTTATATTTATTCAAATATATATATAATATAAAAACTTGTTTTATTTTGTTCCAGTTTTAAGAACTAACTGTCCCGAACTCTTTTTGTTTTAAATTCCATGCATGCATGTATTTATTCATTCCAGCTGGATGTGTTAATTATCATTTCAGTATCATGTTGACCTGACAGCACAGCTGTGTTTCCAGCACATGGCAGACAGACAGGTGATGTTTCTTGTCTCTCTGATGGCTGTGCACCAAGTAATGTGATCAATCAGAGGTCCTTCAGAAATGCTGCAGTCACAGGTGTGTCACTCATAAACAAACAGGCTGCCCCAGCTCGAGTTCATGGAGGGCGTCTGTCCCGCTGTGAACTCTCACATGCTCCTGGGAGCTTGTACCTGCGCGTGTCTCGCGTGTTTGGAGACAAAGCGGGAGGATCAGCCCTGATGACCCAGAAAGACGCTCAAGGATGTGCCTAATTAGATTAGCCCAGTGTGACGAACGGGAGATGACGTCATGGCTCTGCTGGCCCGAATAAAACTGCTGGAGGTTAATGCTTAAATTGTGTTTGTGCTCTGATCTGGGATCAGATGACATACTGAAGTGTGTTACTTAATCAGAAACTTCATTAGAGAACCAGGGTAAATGATATGCTATAAAAAATGATTTTTCTCTCAATTCTGATTGGATGAGCCACGTTAGAAGCCATTTGTAAAATGCAGATTATTAATAACATCGTTTATTTAGTTATACAATATACAGTGTTAGATCTTCCCTTACTGGTGGCACAAAAATATCACTCATTTAGCCATTTTATAAGGTATGCACAGCAATTTTGCATCATTCTCTATGGCGGCATAAAAATAAAATAATAAATATATTTTAACATTAGAGTATACTTATATTATATTTTATAATGTAAATATTTTTTATGTTTATAAAAGTTTAAATAAATGTAATTACATATTTAAAAACAATATAAAGTTGTATTTTTAACACTTTTTTTCAAATTTTTTAATTTTATTTTATATTTATTCTCCTTGTGGCCGCCTTACAACCGATCTGGGAAACCGATCTTTCTCACTATGCTCTCTCACTCTTTATTTCTTCTCTAAACGTTGGGCTGTCAAGTTTCTCCTTTTATCACACGACCGGTCATCCCAGTATAGATGCAACATCTGTATTTCATCGCCGCCGGAGTAATGATAAACACACTCTCACAGCTGATCCGAAACCCACATCGCACGGATGGAGGTGAGTGCTGGATGTATTACTGTTAAAACACCTCTGAATTGATTTCTTCAGGCCCTGCTGCTTCCCCAGAGAGGCCGGCCCTCGACTCGCTCTGCGGGATTACGGAGGATTTCCAAGGCTGCCTCGTCCTACGCAATCAGATGAAATGTGCAGGCTTGCAGAGACTCGGCAAATGAAACTTCACTAGATCTGTCCGAAGTCACATAGGGTTAAATTGTGTTGGATGAACAGAAGAATGCTCTTTTCTGTCCTGATTGGTCAGTAGTCCATATGACTCTCTACATCTTCTGAAGTCATGAGATGCTTTGTATGAGGAAGAGATCCAAATTTAAGTCATTATTTACTGACATTTTCCAGTGCACACTCTTAAAAATAAAGGTGCTTCAAAAGGTTCTTCAAGCGATGCCATAGAAGAACCATTTTTGGTTCCACAAAGAACCATTCAGTCAAAGGTTCTTTAAAGAACCATCTCTTTCTTACCTTTTTATAATCTGAAGAACCTTATTTCACCACAAAGAACATTTTGTGAAACAGAAAGGTTCTTCAGATGTTAAAGGTTCTTTATGGAACCATTTAGACAAAAAGGTTCTTCTATGGCATCGTGAAGCACCTTTATTTTTAAGAGTGCAGCTGTCAAATCACATTCACACAGATGTTCAGTTCAAATATGACGTGCTAAATTATGAAATGGTGATGGGGAAAAAAATGCATTTGCGTTCACTTGCATAAAAAACTTTGCATTTGCTGGCAAAAATTCCGCAGTCCCCGAGATATGTTTTTTTCGCTCACAAAGCTTTCATGTTCTCCTGAAAAACTTTGCATTTGTTGGCAAAACTTTCACACTCCCTCAAGAAATGTTGCGGTTGCTCACAAAAATTTCGCATTCGCATTTCGAAATGTAGCTTTCGCAAACAAAACTTTCCATTTGCCTGAGACACTTTGCATTTGCTGGTAAAACTTTCACGTTACATCACGAAACATTGAGTTCACTCACAAAACTTTTAAATTCCCTTAAGAAACTTTGTATCTGCTGGTAAAACATTTGCATTTCTCCGAAATGTTTGATAGAAAAACTTTTGAATTCTCTTGAAAAACATTGCGTTCTCTCACAAAAGTTTTGTGCTTTCTGCAGAAATTATGCATTTGCAGGTCAAATGTTCGCGTTCACCCAGAAACATTTCATTTCCTAGAGCTTTTGCGTTCGTAAATACTTTGCATATGCTGGCAAAACTTGTGCGTCTCCAGAGAAATGTCATGTTCACTCACAAATCTTTTGAATTCCTTTGAAAAACTTTCCCAGAGAAGCATTGCGTTTGCTCGCAAAGCGTTTTTACGTTCCCCAGAGAAACTTTGCATTTGCTGGCAACATTTTTATATTCTCCGAGAAACATTGCGTTTGCTAGGGAAAAAAAACAACACTATATTCCCCTGAGAAACTGCATTTGCTGGCAAAAATTTTACGATTCCAGAGAAACGTTGCATTCACACGCAAACCTTCTGAATTCTGTCTTCCCCCAAGAAACTTTGCATTTGTTTGCAAAACTTTTACGTTCCCCCAAGAAACAATGTTTGCAGGACTTTATGGTCCCTCGAGAAACATTGCCTTTGTTCACAAAACTTAGAATTTTTTTTGTAGTTTTCTAAAATATTGCGTTGGCTAGCAACATTTTTTTACATTGCCCTGAGAAACTTTACATTTGATGGCAAATATTTTTGTGACCCCCCCCCCTCCCCTTGCAAATCTTTTGCGAAATTTGCATTTGCTGGCAAAATATTTTCGTTACTAAGAAAAATTTACGCGTTCCCCTGAAAATGTTGCATTTGCTGCCAAATCTTTTGAGTTTCCCAGAGAAATGTTGCGTTCGCTCACAAAATGTACACATACCTTAAGAAACTTTGCACTTACTTGCAACAAATGCAAGCATACGGAACATAAAACTTTTGCAAGCGAGAACAAGAAAGCAATGTTATTTTTTCCCCTCTCAATATCCCTATATGGGCCCCATAGTGTCTTGCATATTATGATGCAACTGAAAGATTAAAATTTGAGAACAACAACATAAAGGAATTAAATTTTGGTCTTGATGCACCATATTTAAGTTTGAGCGTCTGTGCACACGAGACATTAGTTTTTTTGTGTCTCGTAATTGTTTATAACTTAAGTAACTTGAATAAGCATACCCATAAATCAGATTTCAGAGATTCAGTGGTCAACTTTCAAGCTATAACTATTGTATGACTTTGGAATATAGCGCA